ATAACAGGGCCGGGCAAGTACGGGATTTCTCAAGTACGAGTCGAGTACGAGTACCAATACTTCGAGCACGAGTCGAGTACGATTACCGAGCCTTCGAGTATGAGACGAGGTCAAGTACAAGCACCAATTTTTTAAATACAGATACCATTGAACTAGGTATGACTATGAATGTCTAAAATAATTTGCGGGAAAAAAAGTCATATAGCTCTTTAGTTATTCTCTTAATTAGTTTCTTATTATTTGATATATAGGCCAGAACAAAATATTGACAAAGCGAAATGTTAAAACATTTTTTTAATTTATTGTATTATCAGCCTTCAAGTAAATGGAATCAAAGTAAAACTTTGTTACATTTTAGAAAAGTTAGTAGACACACATTCTTTGCCGTTAATGATGCTCGATGTGGTCTCATCAGAAAACCACTTTGTGAGAAAATGCGTTCGATAGAAGCCGATGTCGCAGGCACCGTTAGATATTTTAGAGAAAGTTGATATAATCCTGGATATATGTGCTTTTTAGAAAAAAGTAAATCTTCTTCACGACTTTCTTCGCATAAATAACACACACTTCATCTGGAATTTCAAATATTAGATTATCCAGTACCGACCACCTCGAGTACAAGTACGAGTACGAGTATTAACCCTTCGAGTACGAGTACGAGTATGAGTACGACCAAAATCGTACTCGAGTACGAGTACTTCGAGTATTTTGCCCAGCTCTGCTGTATAACAGTAAAGTCATCGATGTTTTCAAGTTTTTCTAAGAGCAAAATGAGTCTAAGCGTGAATGATAACAGATGTTTGATGATGCCAGTCACGTTTAACCTTAGGTCGCAAATGACGGTAGTGTGAGTATTCTAAGAAAAAGTCTTTGATCGTTTCGATTTTGCCAAGTGGGTATAGCTGGTTATTCACCAAATGCCTTCTGTACAAATTAAAACTTAATCGAAAGAATGCATCACGCATTTGGTTTAGGTGCATTTCATGCTTTCGATCAACGTGTTTAAATCGTAGCCATTTGTAACACAGATGCAGATAATTGTGTACCTTTGAGCGAAAGCGAGCCAGATTAACAATTTGATGCAGTGCAACAGGTAACTCATTGCACTGTTTTGATACCCAGGGAAAGAATGTGTTTTGAATTTTCTGTTCAAGTATAAAAGCTGTGTAGTTGATCGTTCATCCGAAACTTCTATGGCGTAGCAACAGTTGATGTTTTTTGGTATCCATTGAGAAAGGAACAACGGAGTGAGCTCTCTTTTTATTTTAAATAATAACAAAATTTTATTCATGGTATATAAAGTTTCAATAGGTATCCATCCAAGAATTTCTAATAGTTTTTCTCTAGAAATCAAATGAATAAATCCGCTAATAATTAAGAGAGAATGCACGAGGTCATTGAGTATTCGCCTGGAAGGCCAAAACATGAAAAAAATTAACATATACTGTTTATGTTCTTATTCGATTCTACACATGAAACTGTGGAATGAAAAAATGTTTAGGCCTGCAGACCTCATATTGATCGAATTATAGAACTTTTAAAATAATGGTCTTCCATGTTGCGGAGAAAAGCGTCATCCCAGGAGAAAAAAGACGGGCAATAAACTGTTCTTTAACTGTCAGTTTACAGTCTGCCTAAAACCTGCCAGTTGACAATCGGTTAACTGTCTAAAAACCACCTAAAAACTGTCTAAGTTAGTTTATCGGCCGTTTTAGGTCTGCAAAAATACCGTCTAATAACTGCCTGGTAACGGAGAAGCTAAAAAACAGCTGGTTAACTGTGTGGTTAACGGGCCATTTACAGACAGTTAACTAGTTGTTTTTTCGTCTTACCGTTTACTGGCCGTTTTTACACAGTAGTTTCTTAAGATCTAAAAATGGTCATTAAGTCAGACAGTTGTTAGATAGTTTTTAGACAATTAACAGGTTGTAAACTGACAGTTTATAGGCCATTTCTTTTCTGTGGTAGTGAGTGGCCACAGGCTAGCTATATTTTTGTTTTTGAAAGAAAAAGCTAGTTAACTGGCTGTAAATAAACTGTAAGCAGGTGGTTAAACGAAGCAGCTGAATTTTGACTTTTTCGAAGTTTTGAATATTAGTCTGAATAAGTCTGACGCATTTATCAGTTTGTTATATATGGAAAATCGGCTCAGTACCAAAGTCTTTCCTGGGAAACAGTTCGGAAAGATTTTAAAGGACCTTACGAAAGTGCATTTCTGAGAATCTGCCTTTTTTTGTACTTAAAAAATTTCTATAGAACAGTTAGAAAGAACTGTTGATTTTATCTATATAAAGAAGAAAGTTGATTTTATTAATGTAGATTAGGTTCAAAAATACTGTATTCGGAAAGCTCATAACTAAAAATCTATAAAATCACATTTTTGTTTGATGCATTTAGTATATTTTAAAAGATTTATTCGTTTCTTTTCCGTTTTTCTCTTTAATTGTCGTACTTTACAGTAATACTAATAGTCAAGTTTAGCTCAGTGCTCTCTAAACATAAAACGTATTTTAAAAAATAAAGAAATAGTGCTGGAAAATCTGAAATACTGCGTGCTATTTGAAGAGAAACTAACGTAAGTAATGTTCCTCCTTATTTTTCCAGACGGCGTCTCGTAAAGAATGCAAAAATATGATATTCGACTAAAGCACAATTTTTTACCTATTTGGGATGAAAGCAGGGCGGACATTTTTAATGCTTTTCCTTCAAAAAAGTCAACTTTTTCAAGCATACCTTTAACATTGTTTTTAAAATCATACTCATCTCGGATAATCTCTAGAAGCGGACAATCTTTTTTTGCCGGGCCTCGATGCGAGTTTTTAAAATTCTTTCTGATATCGGTACGTTGCATTTTACAGTACCAAAAAGGTTTTTTTCTCAGAATAAAATCCCACTTTGGCATCTTCATACATATTATACGTTTGAAAATGTTAAGTGGAAGTATTTCTTTTTCGTTCGTATTCCACTAAATCGATTTGATTTAGTATCGGCGATTTAAAAAGAACATAGTGTTTACCGATGATGTCCGGGAAAGAAAAAGAGAAGCAGAATTTCTAATCGAGCTATTTTCAAACGCGAATAAGTTCTTTGAAAGTTTAAGTCCAGTCTAGTCCGGGTCAATGAATTCAAAAAATTTCCATTCCATACAGAGCTCTGGCTTTATGATATATTATCTATATTTTGTTGATTTCATTATCCGTGGATGACTTTTTGTGTTGTCAAAGTTAACTGATTTCTCGCGGCATCTATCCCTGAACTACAGAAAAAGTTTACTTACCTTTTCCTTCTGTGCATCAGAAGGTATTTCAAGCCATCTCTTTGAATATTTTTACTCTCGTAGTTAAAAAGATGTTCTGTTTTTTTCCTTATGATTCGCCTATCCACAGAATATCCATGCCTGTTCAGTGTTTCTAACATTACGCGTACGCCTTTGTTCCAAAGCGTACGGTAAGCGAACTAAACTTTTTAACCTTGTTGAAACTTTGAAACCTTGTTCTATTTGTAGTTTCTTTCTGTTGTTGTTTGGCTTGAGTCATTATTATTATAGGTCGGGGATCTTTGATGACTTTCACTCTCGTCAATGACTGAAATAAACTTCCTAAGTCAGTTATTTGTTTTTCTTCATTAACGTCTTTCAAAAAGGCACTTGTTCAGTATCCTTTACAGTAAAATTCAGCCGTATTTCTAGTCATAAACAACTTGTATTGGTTGCTTTTCTCTAACGTTATTTTATCTGTGTTTATTTTTCATCGTTACTTTTACATCCTCCTACATCATAAAATATTTTATTTTTTAGCGCGAAAAACTGGTTTCTAGCCATGAGCTAGCCGAAAAATCATTTGAAAAAGTGTCGCTTGGTTTTTTAGAAAGTCGGTCTTTAGCGTCGAAAAACTGAAATTTTTAATAAGGTCGATAAGGTTATCGATGCTATACGCAACATTTATTTCCCAAATTTCAACCTGCTTTGACTGATGGAAACATTGAAAATTTGACATGAGAACCACTCTTTTGCGAATGGGTACTATTTTATCGCACAACTGCTCAGGGCAAGCGATTGAAGAAGACAACGTTTATCAATTCATTGTGAAATATGCCCACTCAAATGACAGCAACTGAAGTGCCCTTGTATAAGCAATGCTATCATAAATACCTAGCTTGGATTTGTAACCAGATAACTGAATATTCTTCGGAGCCTGTATTAGCGCAAGTTTCATGTGCCTATTATTTGAATGACTAGCAACACGATTTCGATACGAATGAATGGTCTGGTCTATATCGATTTATTGATTCAATCAAATGTTCATGTGAGCCAACGTTCATCCGTGGTATAAATCGCTAAAGTTCGCACAGTCAGTTCACGGAGGACTTCTTTTGAGAAAACACTCAAGCACGAGCTCTAGCTTCAGACTATGTATGATTCATTCTTCTCTTCTTTCTATCTTTTATTGAAAAGATAGTGGTATTTTTCTCTTAGGTGGCTGTAAGCTGACCTTTTTTTGAGACTAAGGTTTTTCCAAGAACCTAAACAAGAGGAATAAAAATTGTTTCACCATTAAATCGGCTGTTAATCAAAGTATAATGGACACTATTCAAACCGTGAAAAAGCTCACTTTCGATTATTCTCCGAATGTCTGCTTGATTGCCCACAGTGTTTGGGCGACTTGTGATTGTAAAATTTTCATTCACATATGCAGTGTACATCTCAAACTTTCGAGCAGCTTTCTTCTTTCGTACTGAGTATTGTTACGACGAGACATCTCTCACTTCGCTTATTTCACATCTACACTACACTACTCACGCAGATAAAATGGTTAGTTTCTATTTTAGGTGGGAGTATCGGAAAAAATAAGCAAGCAACTAATTAAAAATAAGATTAACGAAGTTAGTGTGATTTAAATAATTTTAGCTACAATGAATAATCCACAACGCTTTGAAAAGCTTTTACGCGTGAAATGAATGTTATCGTCAAGGTTTGGTTAAAGCTGCAATGCTTCCTAGTTTTAAGCTCGTTTATACCAACGTTTAGCTGTGACTTTACCACATGTCATTACCTGTAGAAATCAAAATAGACGATGATAACTACAGAAATACTGATCGACGTTCGCGGCCTTACTACTTACCACTTGCTGTTGGCCTTCTTCATCAAGATAACGTTCAATCATGGCCACTTTTCCGCCTTTGTCAACTGCTTTGTGAACCCAACGACCATTACTGAACGTTATTGTGCCCTTTATAAAGAGAGCAAACCAATAATGACAATATGTCTCGTACCAAACTTTTCAATTCATAGAAACATCTGTTCTGCTTTTGAGGACCGTATCGTTAGCTTTCCTTTCTTCATTAATATTAGCAGTAATCTGTTTCTCTTTCGAGCGCCGATAAAATAATATTTCAACTACAGCTATTTCATTTAGAAGCTAACTGTTTAAAAAATTGCTTCATATGAACTGAGGAGTGTTTCACACAGGCGACCTCATCTGAAACATTCATCGAAACTACTCCTCATTCTACTTACTTTGATTTCTGCTCCATCTGCACGTGTTTCATTGAATTCGACTCCAGGTACAAATTCATACGATGTATTTTTAAAAGTTGATTCGGATCGCAATGTCCATTTTCCATTATTTTCACTAATAATTAATTTTTCGCTTCTGACTGCTTTCGCTGCTGTACGCACCACCCAAGATATGCCTAAAACGACGAGAGGACAGTTGTAACTGCTTAATTGTTTTCTATTTAGCATACCGAGTTCTTTCATAAAATCATCAAAATTTTCATTATCAATATAATCCCATGTACCTTTTAATTTCTCCACCTCTGAGTCTCCCCCTGTAGCCATTTATCTAAAACATTTGCCTATTTAAATTATGAAAGTAAAACACAAAGAACGATGTGATGGAGGATCAGTGAGTGAATGTTATTCAGTTGCGATAATCCAGAAATTTCAATTTAATTAATTAAAGAAGGCTCCCAAATTATAGCAGAAACTTTTATTCACGTCTGGCAAGCCTTTGTTCAAAACACACAAATACTTAAAAGTTGCTATTTTAAACTCCGGCAAACATCCGTGCCAAACACGGTGTTCAGTAAAAGAAAATAATGTGAACAAAACTATAAAGCAAACTTCCCGTTAAAAAATAAAAATAAAGTGCTCTACCGTTTTGTTTGTCTTATTCAAAATGTAAATGTCATCCTTCAAATAATAACTATAAAGACTGATAAGTATAAAAATACGAAGGTTGAGTAAATATGTGTATTGAAACGACAGGTGCGAGGATAGGGGGAGGGAGTATTTTAGCAATAGACAAAAGAAAAACTTCCATTCATATCTCAGATAATAATTCTTCTGCTTACAATATAGTCTCGTGCTGAGAACAGAAGCCGATCGTGCATACCTAATAGCCACAAAGCTTTCTATTTTCTAGAAGTTTATATTAAGAGGGTTTGTTTTTCAACGAAACTTTTGCTAACTACAAAAACTATGACATTCAACTACCAAAAATAAACATCAATGGATCGCAAGATATGTAAGAAAAAACTGATGACCCAAAGTAGAAAACAACTATAAGCACATTCAGCATCGTTCCGTTAGCCACCATCCACTCACCAGACTTTTACTGGAAGTTATAAAATACAATGATCGTGTATGGCTTACCTTTCTAGTTTATAACATCTGGAGAGATAAGAATTATTTTTAAAAAAAAGCACAAAATGATATTATTATTTATTCGTAATCATTGTTTAGTCTTCTTCGTTTGCATTGTGCTAAAATTCTTGCTACTTTTGGAAAAATCAAATCGGAAGAACCAAAACTCAAAGAATATATAGAGAAGCACTATGATAATAAAGTTATTGTGCGAGGAGAGAACAGAAATCGCTTGAGATGCGAACTTGTGTATGTAATGTATACATCAACGGAGCGGTATATAGTTAAAGTGAGCATGCCTAATTATCTTGTGTTTGCCACAGATTGGTAGTCACATAACGGTTCGTAAGGCAAAGCTTCGGTATGGGACCGGAAATAAGTCTAAAAGCATTAAATCCCTAGGAATTGTCTAAGCTGACACATGTGGCTTGATTCGACGGCAAAAGACTGAAATTCTAAGTATTCAGTTTTCATTATCCGACAGAAAGAATGAGACATGATGGACTCGTGTAGACTCCTGCGGAGGAGCTCCAAACCCCATTCCTTAAGACAGACGGGGTCGGGACAAAAAAAATTACGGACATGAGCTCGCGGCAGGTTGCAGAAAAATGTTATTCCGTAAGATTGTAATTATACTGCAACTTCAAATGTTTAATTCTTGTAATATTATCAAGTCAATACAAATTTAATATCAATAGGCAACGATTTTTGAAATAATTTCATGTTAGTTGTAGCTAATTTTAGAATTTTATTCTACGAAACTTGATATTTCGGCCATTCATGGTCATTGTCAAAAGTGAAGATGTACACACAAGACGTATAACGGTATTGAACAATCTGTACCACTTAGTATTGATTCTCGTGATCGTATCGAGAGTGATTCTTTTATTAACAATTTGTATTTGTGTTGTTCACTACTAGGGGTGGCACTTTACTAGTTTCTCGGCATTACTTTACCAGGTAAAGTAGCGAAGTTAGTTACTCGTTACCAGTAACTAAATAAGTAGATTAGTTACTTCTTTACTAGTAAGGAGTAACTAACTTCGTTACTAGTTACAAGTAAAGTAAAGGTAAAGTGCCATTCCTATTCACTAGTGAGAATTTCAAAGTCTTTTGGTATAATCAAATGTCCAGTCACTTGATAATGTCTACCAATGACCGACTCTCTATGTGTTCATAATACAAGAATTTCTTTAGCAACTTTCTTCTGTGAGAAGATGTGTTCGGAAAGTTTTTTCTTCTACTGTACGGTCAATTTTTTCGGTACACTGTAACTGTGATAAAATGATTTAGAGCTTGATCTATACTATACTCGATGCATCGCTCAATGTTCTAGCGGGAATCGGACGTTGCTTTGACATTTACACTGATGAGAGTGACATTGAATTTAATCTGATGCATGTAGATAACTCAATTCTTAGTTGGGTTGTCGATAAGTATGGTCTATGTGGCTGTGGTACAATATAAAGCCGGAACAAAACGAAGATATTCATTTTTGATTGACAATAGCCCGTAAAGATATTACTGGCTGTCGGTTGAGTTTATGTAACGTTATACTGATGGTCAGTATACAGTTATCAGTACAAAACGGATCGTAGACTATGTACCATCGAATATTTGGCAATCTTCTTCTTCTTCTCAAAGAACTTCTAGATGATTTTGAACTTGAACTATCAAAACCCGACAAAACAGGCGTTACTCAATGACGAAATGGTACGTGGAATTAGCTAAAGGTGCTAAATTATCTATCAGTCTTCCGACAACGTTGGTAGAATTTCATAAAATCCGTCGCCATACACTTAAATTCAGTCAACAATTTCTTCTTTAAAACTAAAGCAACTGGATCTTAACGAGTAGCGTATGCTGAATGTTTGGAGAGAGATTCGTATCGTGTGTTCATTATTAGAAAGACAAGATATCGAAGCCTCATTGAAAAAGGAATTAAAAAAGAAATATTACACGCTGGTAGCTGATATCACTTCACCGGACAATATAACGAGACAATTCTGTCACATATTCTTTGCTAGCTCGACGTTGGATGTTGTCGATGGCACATTATTTCTTTTTCTTGAGCTAGTATAATTATTCATCAATAAATGTATACGCAGGAACCTGGAAGACAGCAACACAGTCAATATACACATACATGACAGAAGCGAAAACTTGCAAAAGTAAATTTTGGCAATCTGTCATATATGATGCACACGGACTGAAATTGTGCAATTACTTCACAGTATCACTATATTTATATATGTATATATTTATATTCGTAGTGTACAGCCGACATCAGTGGGCTTCTCATTCGGAGTTGTAACTATTTCAACCGCAGTTATATGGATCAACTCGAGTTGATAGTTATAACTGTAGTTCATAATCAGAACTCGAGTTTTAACTATATCAACCTTTTTAGAAATTTTTCCAATTTTTAACTTTCAGAAAACAGTTTTAAACCCATCAGTGACAGCCGACCTCTATCAGTGCGGGGATTCTTTATGTAACGCCTATAATGCTGCTATGGTAAAACTACTTGTTAGGTTCCTTTTTATAATTAGTGATACTAATTATGAAGTAATTGCATAATCTCAATCCGTGTGCATCATATATGACAGACTGACAAAGTTATTTTTTGCAGTTTTGTGCAAAAGTAAAACGTTTTCGCTTCTGTCGTGTATGCGTGCATGGACTGTGTTGCTATCTACGGGTTCCTGTTATTTTCTCGTTGAGGAATAATTATACTAGCTCAAGAAAAAGAAAACTAACAAGTAGTTTTATCCACTTACTCGTGAAGATCTAGTTCACAGAGGTCTACTCGGCCTTAAAGAACTGAAGATCTCCTCCGATCGCGTTTTCTAAAAATTTCTCTAAGGTAATTCTTTTTAGTAATGGGTAATAATTTGAACAAGAAGATTATTGCGATAACAGTAGCTTTAAACATGATATATTTATTTTAATATTAAAGTCAACGTTTCGCTGTTTCGAATAGCATTTTCAAGACATAGTATGAAAATGAATCTGATAAGACTCTTGTATCAGATTCATTTTCATACTAAGTCCTGGAAATGTTGTTCGAAACAGCGAAACGTTGACTTTAATGTTAAAATAAATATATCATGTTTAAAGCTACTGTTATCGCAATAATCCTCTTAAAAATTTCTCTTTGAAACTTTGAAGGTTTCTGCCGATTTGTGAGCTGTTGTCTGTGTTAAAGGATTGTAAGCTTGTTATCTGATACCTGTACAGTGTCTACTTATCTTATGTGCTAATGATACTATAGCACAGGGGCCCGGCTGACTTAGGGGCCCAATCGAACGGCTTAAGCGTTGCATTTTTTTATTATTAAACAAAATATAAATTGATGTGTTGAAAACTAAGGAAGTTACATTTTTGCAGAAAAAAAATTTTAAAAGTAAATGTACAAATAATTAAAATTATAATAAGATCCTCTCAGATATTAGTGTGGATATATAGAAGAAGCCACGGTATATGAAGAATATGATAACGCACGCGCATCGATGCTGCTAAGTCAAAATACGGCCCGATCATTTGACTTGTCGTCGCTTTGCCGCTGCACATGCTATTCGTAGACGTAACACCATTCCGCTACTTATAGAAACACTACTCATAACATGAACTCGATGGAAATCGGGAACTCCCAAACCAAACCCTGACGATATATTAGGAAATCCGGGGCTTCCGCGACTTTTATTTTATGAATCGTTGCATGGCTGCTGCTATAATTTTGTTTGTTTAGTCGTTTGGAGTTTACAGTTAGTTGCAATTTGTAACAAAAGTATTTATTTAACAAAATAAACATTACATTATATATTTTATTAATTGTGTGCCTCGTGTAAAAGGGTCGTAGATCTCTATACGATAACAGAATTTTAGAAGGTACGACTTGCTTGATTAACACGTGTCCCCATAAGAAAAAAATAATACTTGTTGTGTCCACTTTTAATTTTTTTTTGATTTTAACGGATATTATTACTTTTGGTGTGTATTACATTTATATAGCACAAAAATAAGTTTTAAACATAATTTAAATGTTTTTCTTTCATGCATCACATATGATTCATCTGAGAGACAGATGAATCATCAGACCAGGTACTTCCTTTATTTTCTCTGCACATGTTTCACGCCAAAATTATCTATCTTGTAACGTTTATCAATGCTTGATTCAGCCCGACTAAAGCGAGTGCAGTTTTTCTATTTTACTTATTTCGTGGTGATTTATACATATAGGAAAGTAAGTAAAAAGGGAAATATTTTCTTGTAGCATGTTATAAATGTAATAATTATTTAGAGAAGAATGACTTCCTCGAGAAAACCTCTTACTGAAGAAGAACTAGGACGATATGCAGAAGATATAATGAGTGAAAGTAGTGATGACTGTATTCAGGATCCAAATTTTAAATTAACGGATAGCGACAATGAAAGTGAATTTTCGGATAATTCTGAATCTGAGCCAAATGTAGAGAACAGAGAAACTGAACTTACATTTGAAACAGAAAATGATGGCTGACGGACACTTCTAATCTAAATTGGATTTCGAATGTTGAAAATCTAAATAGATTAGTGTTTACTAGAAGTGAAGGTATACAATTTCAATTTTCTACTACCGGCCCAGAAGGAAAAATTACACCATCTGATATATTTTTTACTATAATTGATGATAATGCATCATATGTGATGCATGGACGTCTCAGTCAAAAGTTTCGTGCATCACATATGATGCACCGGACACTCAACGTGTTAATAATAATTTGATAGGTTATTAGGTATTCAAAATACAGTGCAATCCGTCTATAGTGAACCTTTAGGAGACGTGAAATTAGTGGGAAGATTTTTAAGATATTTTAAATTAAATTTTTTTTCCACTTTTTAGCAACTAAAACTACATTTAAAAAAATCAGTACGGATGAAAGAACTAAAATGAATAGAAAAACACCTAGAGTGCCGCAAAACGAAAAATTAGCAAAGAAAAAGAAGCAAAGCGTGAATCTTTGATATCAAAGATTCCTAAGATAGACACATTCTTAAAAACTCAAAGCAACACAAACTCTACTGTTTTAACTAATACTGACATCAATACTGCAAGTACCAGTGCAGCTAGTGAAATTAAAGATGTAGAAGATAATGAAAATATTCATGATTTCATGACCAGGAACACAGCATATCCATTACCGACTTAGACTCTGATAGTAGCAGTATCATCAGTGATAAAGATGATAATCCTGTGACAAATGAAAATATTGCAAGAGAAGCTATAAAGAATGACAATATAGAATATGGAGACCCCAACACATGGCCATTTAGTTTGAATGAAAAAACAATTGATGATATAATAAAGAATCTTCCGGCGCAAAATTTAAATGAATCAGATTTTTCAAGTTCAAAAATTCTATCAAAAAGTCAAAAGAGGTACGTATCAAAAAATATTTTTTTCCGAACACTGTTAAATGGAGAAATTAAAGGAAGGGATTTACTCAGTATCATTAGGGAAAATATTTTGTGTTCCATGTAAATTATTCGGTAAAGATAAAACAGCAAGCTTTTGTTCTGGTTTTAATGATTGGACCCACAATATCAGAATTTCGCAACATGAAGTATCCTTTGGTCATCAAGAAAATATCAATATTTACAAATCGGTTTAATGTTTCTGGAAAAGTCAACACCGCGATTATGATACAACTATTAACTGAAACGGAATACTGGGAAAAAGTTTTATTACGAATTGTAAGTGTTATAAAATTTTTGAGTTCAAGAGGTTTAGCATTCCGTGGGAGTAATCAAATAATTGGCGACAATCACAATGGAAATTATTTGGGATGTTTAGAACTAATTTCAAATTTCGACCCGTTTTTACATGAACATTTGAAAAGTTATGGAAATAAAGGGAAAGGTAATGTTTCGTACTTGTCCAATACTGTGTGCGATGAATTTATAGAAGTCATGGGTAATCATGTAAGAAAATTAATTGTAAAATTAAAAAAATATTATTCGATTATTATTGATTCGACGTCAGATATTGCACACATAGACCAACTAACATTTGTAGTAAGATATGTGGATCCTAGCGGAAGTGCTGTAGAGAGATTTTTAATGTTTATAGAAAATGTCGGCCACAAAAGTTCTGCTATGGAAGATGCCATTTTGAACGAAATGGATGTTTTAGAAATCAACTTAAATGATTGTAGAGGGCAATCTTATGATAATGCGGCAAATATGTCCGGGGCTTATTCGGAGCTTCAGTCACGCATACGTGCAAGAAATGATTTGGCTGTTTATGTGTCTTGTGCAGTACATTCACTGAATTTATCTGGTGAATGTGCGGCAGAATGCTGATTACGAGCTACAAAGTTTTCATGTTTATGCAAAATTTATATACATTTTTTGCTGCTTCCACTCATCGATAGGAGATAATGAAAAGCTATCTAGAGAAACAAGACCCTAAATGCGTAGTGCCCAAGAAGTTAAGTGATACACGTTGGTCAGCAAGGGCTGATTCTTGTAAAGCATTATGTACAGGATACGCATGTTTTAAACAAGCTTTAGAGGTTATTTCAAAGGATACATCGCAAAAATCCATTGTAAAAGTTGAAGCTGAATCACTTTACAACCAATTGGACAAACTAGAAACAGGAATAATGGTCACATTTTGGAATGACGTACTGCAAACAATTAATGCTTCCAATAATACGCTACAAAAAGTCAATTGTGATATTGAAACAGTTGTAAATTTGTATAATTCGTTAACCATGTATCTGTCATCTAAGAGAAATAGCGATTTTATCAGTTACTATGAATCAAAAGGAAAACTATTATCGTCAAATGAAGAATATGAAGCTAAAAAGATCTGCAAAAGAAAAAAACACTTCGATGAGACTAATATAGTTGAAGTTGTGTTTAATTAATGTTTTCCTTTATTTTTGTGATTTTTATATTATCTAATATAGAATATCTAGAATGAAAATGTAAATATGGTTACTTTTTTTATTACTAAGAAAAACAGTTACCTATATGATCTCTTTTTTTATTTTCTTTATTTTTATTAAAGGAAGAAGCATTTTATATTTCTATAGTATATATATACCTATTTTTTTTCTAAATAATTAACTATTTATGAATTCCAATAAAAGAAATATTATATTCATTTGAAATTAAATTTCTTATTGAATGATACTTCAAAAAATCCTAAAACTTTACAGTAGTGAGTTTCATAAAAAATATAAAATATACATAAAAATTATTACATCTACTTACGAGTACACGTTACTACATTAAAAAGACTTTTTTTTAATTCTTAGGAAAACGAGTGGGCTCACGTTAATGATTAGCACAGGGCCACAAATTTCTTAAAATGGCTCTGTACCTGTAGATCTTTGAAAGAGTTGAAAAAGCTTTCTAAAGTTCTCCACAGTTGGAATAGGAAGATCAACAGAGTTCAATTACAGCAGTGTTCATTTTTGTCTTTAAATAGTTGACTTTTATTGTGCAAGATGTGGCGAAAACGAAGACAGAAAGTTTACAAAAATGTTGGACGCAGTATCAAATAAGAGAAGCAAGCCAGTTTTATTTGATTGATTTAAGAGAAACACAAAACCCACCTCATGAGAGAATGAAAGATGCTATCCAAAAACAATTAAGTGTCCTGCTACAATCTTAAGCTACGAGAGCAACTGAAAGTTTATTGCAAATACAAATCAAGTTTATCAGTGATATTCAGAAGACAAACGATTATGATAACAACATCATTAACAGCTGAATGGGACTCGATTACTTTGTGGAACGTTGTCGTCGGTTCACAGGTAACAAGGGCGCTAAAGTTAGCAAGCACGATATGTTTCCGTAACCATTTTCCTATGTTGCCAAGACTGTTTTTCATAAAGAGTAGCATTTTAAGGACAATGTTCTCTGCAACAACCACCCAAATGATTCATTCGATTGTCTCAACAATGAAAAACTAGCTGGTTTTATAGATGCTATCTACCAACCTGTGTATCCACTGATCAGCTTTTTCCTCGAAACTCCCAGATCGCCGAGTATCGTGTATTTCTTCGACCGTGATCCAAATCGTTGGAAGGCGATCAGAATAGTTAACCAACTACAGAAAGAAATACAACGGTTAAAGTGCGAATACACAGACAAGGAGTTTGTTGAAAAAACGTAGTAACGATCAAATTTAACAACGTAAAAATGAATATCTTGTAAAACTAAAGCAACTGGATCGTAATGAGTGGGGTATGTTTGATGTTTGGAGAGATTCGTATCGTGTGTTTATTATTAGAAAGACAAGATATCGAAGCCTCATTGAAAAAGGAATTAAAGAACGGATGTACTTCTCTTGCCAAAAGAATTAGCCTTTTTTGCTTCGTTTTATTATTCGATTACGGTCTGGGATTTGTTCTGTTCAGCAGAATGCAAGCGTCGTCCGCTTTCTGATAAGTCTTGTCCTGCATGTCCCTTTGAAATGCCACAATGGAACCTTTACCCTCTAATCTTTCAATCACTATTTGGTATGACGATAGCTACTGGGCCTGTGAAAGTTCACGTTTTGTTCCTTAAAGGTGAACGCGCGCGTTCTGCGGAGCATGAACTTTACTTGTGAAACGAAAAATAGTCTAAGGTTAATGTACTCATAGATTTGGATTTGTAGAGTTATATCAAATTTAATTTGCTTATAAACAACATGATAAACATCATCATAAGCCAATTCGCCCATCCGAGAGAGACATATCATGATCTATGTTCATTTTGGAAAGTCAATCATGGTGTTTACCACAACTAGCCGATATAGCAAAACTTGATGTGGCAATTCCAGCTAGAAGTGTACGAAGTGAAGCAGCCTTTTCCATTGTCAGTCATATCAAACGAAAAATCGCTGTACGTTAGTTCCAAAAACATGGAATATTCAATATTTTTAAAAGATAAATTCAGACTTTCTCTATTTTTTCATGTCGTGTTCTATGGCCATATCGATAATGAAACGCAAAAAATATACAGTGAACGCTCCCGCTAAACATTAAAATAACGGGTTTATCAAAAAACCAACACTGAACACCATTGGTAGAAAATAAAAGTCGCATTCGCGTTCAAGGAACGCCACCTTCTCTCAGCGTTCACGTTCAAAGGAAACGCTAAAAAGGAACGGTGAACGTTTTCAGGCCTAATAGCTACATCATCATAGTAGTTAAGCCATGTGTTAAAACAGAAAGCAGTTACCTCACTGAAAACTGTTTTTTTTATGCTTTAGAAAAATCTACACTGTTGCTTCTATCTATTTGGTTATGATATGCTCGTTAGCGTTGGGCGAATAACACGTGGGCAAAATATAACCTGCGTCAATATCAACGTTCCCAACTGTACCATCCAACAAATTCTGGTTCAAGACTTTGAGGGTCTAATGACGATGGAACGTGGTTCCTCTGTATTTGACAAAAGTGTATATTTACATGCTCTGGCCACCTCTGATCTTGTATTATTGAACACATCAAAAGTTATTGATGCACCCATGCAAGAACTGTTGAAATATGCCATGTTTGTATATTCATCATTTAGGATTGTCCTCATATGGGAAACCGAAACTAACATTCATTTTGTGCGAGACATGGCCACGGAAAACCAAGACGAATTCAATGCAGCAAAAGAATCGATCGAAAGAGCAATGCTCGAATATTTCGTTGACGATTCAGCAAAAATCGGGTTCACTTGTGTATTAGAACAACTGATCTATATGACATTAGCATCGGCGCTACATCGAAATGAAGGCAACTGGATGATAATACTAACTGATCTGAGGAGGCATATACCTGACAATATTACTGAATACTCACAAAAGGCACCTCCTAACCACAAAAATTGGTCCATGTGGATAAACACAATGAGTAGCGTATGGACATGCATCCGGGGAAATTTGAATTTGTTGGATGCTAGTTCGTTGACTGAAATGGAATTCAAAGAATCCATGGATACAGCGCTAAATGAAGTGATTCGATCCCCAGATACTATCACAAAAACGAAACAGTCAATGTTGAGCCGTATAGACGAAATGTTACGGACAAGAACGCGTGGTAGTTCCATCAGTTTTGATCAAGTTAACCCACAATTTAAAAGTAAAATGGCGAATAATTTCAAACTCGGCGAAAGGAAGGTCGTTGAGATGTTTGTGTTGCGTGTTGATACTCTACAGCCCAATTTATTGAGCGTCTATACACACTTCAAAGATGATGTCATTCTCAAAGAAATTACACAGCACAAGAAGATACATATGAAATTGTTAGTCTATCGTTTCTAAACCGATATAAAACTTGAATCTCATCAAATTATACATATCGCCATAAAAAGCTGACGTCAATACTAGGTGTGCGTCGTTTCGGTTATAACCGATAATCGGTTTTCGGTTAATAACCGAAACCGATGCATACCTAGTCAATACATGCTGGTAGTTGGTCAATGTTCCAGTACAAAAATATATATCATCAATATAAATTGCAACCACCCAAGGTCTAGATATGAAGTTAATATGCTTTCATTTCAAGTAAGTGTGAGATTTGCTTTTATCCACCACGAATAAGGTATAGCAGTGCTCAGAACATCTGCAGGAACTATCGGCTGCAACCATTGACAGTCACACGATGCTAGCTGCGAATATGTCGTATGTCGTTGTGTTGACGCGATTGTCAGTCCAACCAGTTGCAAAAACTGTGACAGTACTGCCCGCACATCCACAAGCGGCGAGAAGACAGAGATCAGCTCTGTCTTCTCCTCCGTGGATAAAAAAGTATCTCTGAGAGATGCCTTTTTATCCATGGATTTTTATGCAAGTCTCGACAAAAAACTTCAGCTAGTTGGACGACATTCAAAACTGATTCACGATTATTAATCTCTGCTGAAGTATTTATTTAAAGCTGAAATTGTTTAGTGTACAATGTTGCATTTTTTTATAGTGAAAATGTTTCAGTCAATCAGGCAACGGAAGATACTACGTGTTCGTCTCATTAGATAAACGACGGCTCTTTAACCACCAAATCATCAAAAGAAAAAAACGAAGCTTTCCTGTTAGGTGACAAAAACAAAAGACTTTATTTCTTTTCGTTTTTGAGATCTTCAAAAATAACCAAGATAATTACCATTTTTCTGACGACAGTATTGACTTGGATGATTGTTTAAAACGACTTCGTAGAGTGGTAGTGACAGTTAATCTTTTTTTATTTTGTTTTAGGTTTTGGTTTTCAATTTGGTTCTTTCTTTGGTATTTATCGGCGACTGATGCTGCATCAAGAACTATTTGTCGTTATTTACATGATTATCAAATTTGAAAAAATAGACTAAGCAGTCGAGTTTTAGTTGAATACCTTGAAGAAGGAAATATAAACTAGTCTAAATATTTCCATCCTTTTAAATAAAATGTCAAAATCTGTAGCTCAATCAGTGAAAGAACTTGGATGGGTTCGTGAACATCTTTCTATTTCTCTTTGTTTTTCAAGAAATAAAAATGAGATATCGAAAATGTCTTGTTCGAAAAAGGAGAGAGATATAGCAATGGAAGGTGGTTGATTATTTACAGTACTGTAAATAATCAAGCATCTCTCATTGCATACATCATTCGTTTATTCACCCACTCGAACATTCAACAATATCTTCATTCTTTTATCTCATTGCATCATCGGTTCAACAGAAACCAATAATATCGGCAATGCGTCTAACTGATGACACTCGAGGCGCCCCAAAAGCACTTGAGGTGTTCACCATAAATACCAGAGACCCATTCGCTCCTCTTCAAGTCGCAATACTGCCACAACGTTCAGGTGCGGATCCAACCCTTAGGACTGACACTGAACTTACTCGTTCAACATCAGCTGGAAACTTCCGTCTATATAAAGACGCAAGTGGTACTTTTGGTATCTAGGTGCCGAACTCGTCGGCTTTTTACTCAGATGGTATCCCACCAAGCATATCTGCTCCGGATACTTTATCTGGACAGATGATTGGCGGATCCCATCGGGATAAAACCGAGCCAGCTCGACACAACCAGACATACTGTCGTGGTTCTGAGTATAGACGTAATGACAGAGTCTTCATAAACTCGAGTTAGCACGATCAAAAACTCAGAAGGGCTCCATACGATCGGTCAGGCGGTTATAAAATTACCACTGATTACAACAGACAGCAACACCACTTTTCTTTCAATGCGCCTAAACAGCGCTTCCAAAATGACGAGTTCATGAGTGTTTCACAATCGACTAGCATTCCACAGTGGATGCATCGTCATCCTCGTCTTGAATGGTGGAAGCAGAGCTCAGCAGCCGCAACCCCGGCACAGTGTCGTCAAAATGCAACAAAAAACCTGGAGATTTAACACCAGAACAACGACGGGCGTTGTTAAACCGAAAACGATATGAACGACGAAATCGGATGATAATAGTAGCACAAACGAACATAGAAGAACTGCAGAAACAACTGGACGAGAACCGTCAAACTGTCTCATCAATTCCAGACGAAGGCAGTAAAGATGATGATGTTATCTTGGCCTCACAGCATCAGCCAAACTAGTCGTCAGATTCCTCAAAATGGAGCCAAGTGATGTAGAAAATTTGGCAAACGATATGGAGCGTTTAGCCTAAAATAGACATTGGCATAATGCCCATTTTTTCATTGTGTGTGTTTTTATCTTCTCGTCTCTTTTTTCGTCTTTTTATTCGATTTATGTTTTTCCTTGTTTTTAATTTGTTTTCTTATATGTGCTCTAGATATAAAATATGCCTGATGAGTTTTATTACTAATGAATACAAAAGCTCCCTCACAAAAAACTCACATTTCGTGTTCAATGGGAAGATATACAATCAACTTAATCTGCCATGGGTTTTTACAATCAATCCTGTCCATAAATCCTTGAAAATTCTCACCATTTTTTTTCCAAGAAATGCTGTCGTGGGTGTCCAATCCTCTACTGAAGATACAAAGTGTCTATATACAGAGATGTGAGAATATCAATACGCAGGATATTCTCAAAAAATGCTTTTAAAAAAACAGTTGGTGGTTTGGTGTTGTTGTACAGACAGATAAACGTGCTGAGCATGGTGTATTTTCGACTATACTACGTATCTACATCTTTTCTTTTGGAAGGGAGGGGAACAGCATGTGAGTGACGTCCGGGAGTGCATTTCACTGTCGCTGGTCCAGAATACCGCAGTCCTAACAATCCCGGCATAATTTATAGATGCACAAAATAGTAGTGTATTCTGGTCGTGCATATACCGAACTCGGCATGTTCTGAAGAAACAATGGTTTTTTTAGAATACACAGCGTATTGACATTGCGACACTCCTCTCTATATATGAAATGTAATAAAGTCTTATCTTAGTCAAACAGAACAATGACGTGAATTTTTTCTTTTTTGACACTAAAAGGATACGACCATTTCAAGTATAGACCACTTTGAATGAGAATTTTTGTGAAGTAAGTCCAGGGATACAATAAAATTTCTGCAAGCTTGTTAGTAACTATTGGAGAACTATTCTAAATTAGGGTATTTTTGTGCGGATTTCCTAATATATGTTGCCAATAAACTTAGTTATAAATCTGTGAAGACTCTCATCAAGCGCTCTCAAGATAAGTTGTATTCAGTATACAGTGTAGAATCGCTCACGGTCTTTATCAATGCACCTCCTATCGGTCAGTTTGGTCTTCATTGTACAGCTCAATTTATCTATCCTCGTGGAAAAAAATAGTTGCAAACAGTATTTTTAAGATATTTTCCTTACGAAAATGATCACATATTCTGATAGCGCTTGGAATTCTCTACAATTCTGTATATTTAAATCTGGTCTTGCATTTATTTGCTGAAAAATACATTGAGTGCAATGGCGGCCCCCTCATCATCAGATTCCCAGAAATTGTAATGAGTGTTATTATTTTCCATCTGAACCTTTTTCTTTTTCTACTATTTCAGTAAAAAAAGGGTTGCAAAAGTGAGAGGTCAGTTCTTTTTGTACTTCTGAATGGGCTCTTTCTCGTGGTCTGTAAAAAAATCTTTTAGAACAGATGGTGTGAAAAAACTAAAAAAGTAGCGAAAAAATGTACATTTTTGGTACTTGTCAATTGGGGGTACCTTCGCTGTACCCAAATTATTTTTCAGCAAATAAATGTAAGACAAGACATAAATATATAGGATGATAGAGAATTTTAGGCGCTATCAGAATATATAATTACTTTTATAAAAAGCAATTTCTGTAGTGATGATAAATTTAAAAAGCAAGTTGAAGAAATAGTAACAAAATGCAGCCCGTGGGAATCTGACAATGTGGGGACCATCATTGCACTCAATTTGTTTTTCAGCAAATAAATGCAAGACAAGATATAAATATACAGAATTGTAGAGAATTTCAAGCGCTATCAGAATATGGTGTCACTTTTGTAAAAGTATGTTTTCATAAGAAAAATATCTTAAAAAGACTGTGTATTTTTTTTCACGAGGATATATATATGTATTACTTTGAAGCCTGTGGAATCAGTTATGCCGCAGTATAGTTTCGATGAAATTCCTCGTGTGGAAGGAGTGAAGGTGGCCATTATTACTGGTTCAAACGATGGAATCGGCAAAATAACTGCACTTGAACTAGTAAGAAAGGGTTGGCACGTGATTATGGCCTGTCGAAACGAAGAGAAAGCACAAGCAGCTATACAAGACATTCGAACACAAGTCGACACTAAAGACAGTGATAATTTGAAGCTAGATTTTATACAACTTGATTTGGCATCGT